AGTGGAAAATATTTGGCTGTTGAAATATAACTTTTGGCAAATCCTTCATATTTGTGCAATTGATACAATACAATATTTTTAATCTCATCTGCAAGTGCCGATATTTTGTTTTCTTTGTCGAGTCGTGTGATTATTGATTTTTCGATTAACGGCTATTTTATTAATGAAAAAGAAATTAATTAATAAAATTATAAAGAAAGTTTCAACACTTGAAGAAACAAAAATATACCATCATTATTGGATAACACAACAACTGTGAGACACCAGGAAAAGTAAGAATTCTCCCAAAAAAAGGAAGGTTCGTGAATTTCATTAACCCAGCGGGGGCAATCAACGCTAATTTCTCTACTTTTTCCGGATATTTTTCTGTAAACAAGACTGGCACCACCCTGCAACAATAATAAATATGGTTTTTTTTAAATTAACAAAATAATTATAATTATCAAATATTAATAGTATTTTAACTATTAACTTTAATTATTAATCTAAATTAATTAATCAAAAAATTATTAATTATAATCAAATGTTAACTCTGAATTAAAATATTTATTTTAATTTTTTATAATTTTTATTATATTAAAAAATAAAAATTAATTTATTATTATAAGATTAGAATATAATATAAAAGATTTATATTTCAAAATAAAAGCTAATAATTATTTAATATAATATATTTAGAATTTAATTAATTTTTATATTAAATAAAAGATAATTTAGATTACTTTTTTATTTAATAATAAATAAAGCAAGACTTTTCAAAAAAATAAAAGTAAAATTTTTTTATAAAAAATGTTTAAATATTATATTTATTAATTTATAATATTAAAATATTAAATTATAATCATATAATTTTATATTAGATAAAAAATATTAAATATAAAATCAAATAATTTATTCTAATAAACCAAAAATTTTATTTCAAAAATTATTTACTAATATTATTTTGAAATATAAATCTTTTTTTAAATATAAATTTTAATTTTAATTTATAATATAAAATTTTCAAATAAATTAATAATTATAATTTTTAATTTAAATTTTATAATTAAATATTTTTTTATAATAAATAAATATTATATAAAATATATAAAGTAAATTTTAAATAAAATTTTAAAATATATATTATTATTAAAAAAATAAAAATAAGTTTATTTTTTAATTATTATACTATATTTTGATTTTATAATTTAATTCAAGCTATAATATTAATTAATTAAAATATTATAAAATCTTAAACTTTAATTTTAAAAATATCTAAATAAGTTTACTTTAAAATTTTTAATTACTAATTTAATATTATATAATTTAAAACTTTTTTAAACTAATAATTTAATTTTAAATAATTATAATATTAAATTTAAGATTGATTTATAGACAAGTTCAAATATATTTATCTAATATTTATATAATTAAATTATAATAAATTTTTATTTAAACTATTCAAAATTTTTCAAGAGTCAATTCTAATTAAATTATATTATTATTAATAATATATTTTAATATATAAATTTATATTTTATATATAATTTGATTTTATAATTTTATTAATTATAAAATATTTTATTAATTTCAAAATATTTTATTATTTATAATTTAAAAAAATATATATAAAATTATTTTAATTTATTTTAATTAATATTTTATATTAATTAAAATATTTACTTTTTATATTATTTTATCTTTTATTTTTAACTTATTTAATTTTTCTTTATTTTTAAATTAATAATTTATATATACTTTTTATTAAGCTTAATAAATAATTATATTTTATAAATTATTAATTTCAAAATTTTAATATTTAGTTTATATTAATAAATATAATATTTTTATAAATATTTTAATATATTATAAATATTTTAATATTTTATTAATATATTACTTAATAATAATAAATTAAAAATTATTTTATTAATTAAATATAATATAAATTTATAAATTTATTAAGAATTAATTTTTATTTTTATATTAAATAAAGTTTATAATTTATAATTTAATATATTATTATAAGCTAAAAAAAAATATAAATATAAAATAAAAATATTAAAAATAAAGTTATAAATTAAAAAAATTTATTAATTAAAATAAAAAATCATTAAATATATTATTTTTAAATAAAAAAAATTTAAATAAGAATATATATTAAATAATAAATTAAAATATTTTATTATATATAAAGTTTATTATTTAGAATTAAATTTAATTATTAATATTTCTTAGACAAAAATATAATAATTTTGATTAAATTATCTTCTTTTAGATTCTTTTAGTTTAGATCTTCATTTTATACTATCTATATTACAGATTAACTTTATATTATATTTTTAAGAAGATTAATTTCACTCTGGATACACAGATAATTATTATATATTTAATATATCTAGATTTAGTATATTATTACTCAAATAATTATTATATATTGTTATAATAAATTGGTAAGTGGAGTTTCACTTTAATTCACCTTAACAATATAAGTTTAAAAGAGACTGAAATAATTAAAGGATGAAGAGAGAAGAATTAGATTATAACTTTCAATAATGATAAAAGTTTCTAAGACCTGTGTCAATATCTATAAATATTATCTCAAAAAGGATAATAAAATAAAGAAAAAAAGAAAATAAATCAGAAAAATTATAAAGATTAACTAAGTGAAGTCACTAGTAATCAATATAATTCAAGATTTGAATTGATTAAATAGCAAGCTA